CACATATCGTCAAAACTCGAAAGAAGACCGGTGAGTCCAGACCTTGTTGTTGTTGTCATTGGGACTTAACGATGCACTCAGCTCCTGAGGCTATATGGTGTTGCCTGCCTCTCATCCCGACAGGAAAGGCGAGCACCGCGGGGATTCGAACCCCGCATCTCTGGTTTCCCAGACGCGCATCGGTAAACGCAGACGCGTCAACCACTACACTACCGCCACCCCGGGTCCAGACTTAGTGAGATTTTTAAAGAAGGGGTAAGCTAGCTGCTTTGCACCGACAGAAGTGTTTCTACATTTACTGATCATTAGGTCTAATTCATTAAGTGTGAAGAGTGTGTTGAATGCCTCAGTGTTAGCAGACGTGAAGTTGAGTGCAAGCAGTGTGGCGTTGAGTGTGTTAGTGATCTGTTGTGAATATTGTTCGGATGCTGATACATGGGCGAAATGTGTGGCAAATTTGGTGACAACTTTGAATGGGATGTTGTAAGGCTGGTTGCTGACTACAAGGCACACCGTTTTATAATGCGGCGTGAGTTTGTTTGTAAAGCATCAAATCAGTGACCATATTTTAGATAAAGGGGTAAAGCGGTTGAGCGTACTTGAAAATGGTTCTCAGCTGTCCTGTTCTGCGCGTTTAATGATGATGTCGGATTGATATTTAGCTCTACGAAACTCCTCTTCGTGAGCTTTGTAAATTTAACTACGAAAGGCATGCATAGCCCGGCGTCGCAGAGCTACTGCCTGCTGACACTCACCGTCCCACCAGGGTGCATGTTTGTGCCCTGGTCGACGATGAGTGTGTGGAGCAAACTGGCGCGCTGAGGCTGAAGCATTGTTAAGAAACGTAGGGAGATCAGGAGTTGTTCCTGAAGAGTGTGCCTCATCTATATAATTTTGCAAAGATGCCCAGTCCGCTTTGCGAACATTCGATCAGGGAATAAAATTTAAATAGATTTGCCCTGATAGAACCCCCAAATTCATGTGGATCGGGCGGCGGTCACTGAAAAGCGGGTACGGTTGAACATTGGGCGTAGAAAATAGCGCTGTGCGTGGTGCTGTCAAGGTCAGATCCATAACATGTATCCCACTGTGCCCCAGTGATGATGCGTATGCGTAGGTGTCAGTCCGTTGATGTATATGAGACCGTAAGTGTCCATGAGCGTGTGTAAATCTCTCCCCCTTGTTTGTGCCGTGTTACAACCCCATCCGCAATGATGGGCGTTCAGATCCCCAAGTAGGAGGAAGGATGAGGGAATTCGCGGGAATAAGGCGGGGAGAACAGCTTAGGAGACGGGATTAGTGGGGCTATAGTATGAAGAGAGAAGAGCAAGTTCTACCTTGTGCTAATTTTACGCTTATTGCAGCTTACTGAAATAAGTATTAAAATGAGCCTGAGGATGCAAAAGGTTATATGGGACAAACAAGGCCGAACCGCCTCGGGGCGGGGTTTCGGTTACGTTATTTGTGTCAAGGCAGTAACCATTGATATTAAGTTATAATTAAATGAATTTCAAGTCGTTGCAAAGATTTCTCGAACGGCGGCTCTCAGCGGTTTGTTTTTTATGTTTATGGGATTCTGTACAATGGGATACCAGAGATCTCGTATTCCAATGGAGCAAGAATTCATCGAGCTGGGGATTCAGTTGGGGAGGGGAGGGAAACCATCCAGCGGAGCGACGGTGAGAGAGAGAAAGAGAGAGAGAGAGAGAGAGGGAGAGAGAGAGAGAGGAGAGAGAGAGAGAGAGAGAGAGAGAGAGAGAGAGAGAGAGAGAGAGAGAGAGAGAGAGAGAGAGAGAGAGAGAGAGAGAGAGAGAGAGAGAGAGAGAGAGAGAGAGAGAGAGAGAGGAGAGAGAGAGAGAGAGAGAGAGAGCAGCGACGGCGGAAGCGCGAAACGGGCCGGGCTCGACGATTGAGTGGGGGACTGGCGAGGGAGGCTGGTGTCGGGGGCCGGCGGCTGAAATATCGGACGGGGCTTCCTGCGACGCCGGTATGGGCGTAGGGGGGGGGGGGACCACTACCGACGTGCTGGGGTGAGAGAGAGGCTCTCTGAGTCTGGTGTGGGGCGGGCCCCTCCTCAGGGAGGCTCGCAGCCACTGGGTTCGCCTCAGCTGGATCGGTCGGCGCGGGCTCGATCGGACGCCGCACCAGACGCGGCTGACCTGCTGGGGAGGAGCGGCGTGCAGAGGGGAGGATCTCCGCTGTGGCACAGCGTTGGCTGGGCAGCTCGGGCTCCTCAAGAGGACGCGGAGGAGGGAGGGGGTCCGCCACGGAGCTGGTGTCAGAGGGTGAGGGCGAGGGTACGCCTACCGCGTCATGGACCACTCCTGAAAGTGGAGCTCTCGTTGGACGGTGCATGAGCCGCTACCGATGACAGCGCTGCACGCTGCATATTCCAAGCGGACCAGGCGAGGAGGCCCCAAGCTGCGTGCGGGTCTTTGCATGTGGTGCGGCGCGGGTTTTCTGAGTTACACTCCCGCGTGTCGTGTGGATTGGCGAGGCGGCCGCAGGTAAGATGTGTAGCCCGGCAGGTCCGGTTCGATGTGGCCGAACCGTTGGTACGCGCGGCAGTGCTGGGGGGGGGGGGGGGGCGGGCAGGCCTTCATCGTGACCATAAAGTATCTGCAGTGGGTGGCCCACGGGAGTTTCAGCCCCCCCAAATCGCAGGCGAACCAAGAGGCTGGAGCCCAACTCGGGACGGCGGGATGGCAGGCGCATGAAAAAGCTCTCATTAGGAGGGTTCCTTGGCGGAGCGGTTTAGCACCACCCGCCTTGCCGGCGTGGAGCACGAATTTCCGACGGATGGCAAAGCGGTTAGAGTCACGGAAACTTTTCCTGTCGACGTTTTTAATGAGTACGAAGCTCTCCCTCCGGGGGGGGGGGGGGGGAAGCACGAACAAGTCGCTCGCCGAGGGGGAGATATTCATGCCATTCCTGACCTTTTAAGCCTTAACTGAACCTTAACTTAACTGAAACTTAAGCCTTAACTGAACATTAACTTAACTTGTGAACTAGTTGTTACAACGATTTAAAACCAAAAAACACTATTCTGACACTCTTAAGCTTTTGTGAGCGCAAATGCCGCAGTGACCCGTCCCGTCAGTCCCTACAGCAGCTTACAAGCGGCAGCACTTCCTGGTGACGGGAAGAGGCGGAGCCCAAATCATGGCGCGCGTACTGGACGCCGAAGGTGTTTGTACTATTTACTCTTTTAATGCTAAGACAACAAATGAAAAATACGATGAATGCTACCAGGACAATGAGTGATGGAATTCTAACAGGAGCACCACCAGCATGTTACCCCACGACAAAAGAACTAACGATGAACCGGAGCAAGGCTGGAACACGGCCCTCTACCAACCACGTCGCAAACCGGACCGGTTGACAATCCCCAACGCCTTAATGGCGCATTTTAAGGCAAACCGCGCCGCTCTGGCGATTGTGCAATTATGTATAACGAGGATAAGGATTTCATTAGTTTTTAGATCACCATATCTGCAAAACACAAATTTTTATCAATAGCAAATATGTTAAGAGTTGTATTGATGAATTACGCTGCTTGTTGCATTGCTTCAACAAAGCTGATGCACAAACTCAGGTTGACGGTACCATGACGTCATAAGGGGCTCATATGGTGAGTTGCGCCTTCTGTGAGCGATCATTTTTCACGCTGGGAAGACTGCGCAGTGAGGGCGTGGGAGCATATCCAAAACCGAGCAAGGATGACCCTTCAAAAAATTGGGAGACTGTGGAATGTGCCCACAAATCACCCGCAAACTGTTTCCCCACGCGCTGGTGCTAAAAAAGTTATGGACCATTCAAACATTTTTCTCTTTCGCTGCTGTAATGCACAAGGCTCATCGCCCACAACATAGTGTGAAAAAGATGTTTAATAAAATTTTGAACGGTGAGAGCGTTTCAGCCTCTGTTCATGGTGGATAGGCGTTGATATGAGTCTCCCACGTTCGTGGGCGAGTGAACGCTTTGTTCCTTTTTTCACCTCCGCTCGGGCTGAGGCCTGGCGGTTGATCCCGCGGCCGCGTATAGCCTGCCCCGCAATTATCCACTCTCCTTTGTCCCATAGCCCTGAAATGATAGCCAATATGTCCCACATGGGTTCCATGTCAGGGTTATGTCCCATAGCCCTGAAATAAGTGCTAGTTCCGGCCACTCGGCCGCAACCAGCCGGTCGACAACACGGGTATGGAGGTGCAGGTATTCACGCTTGTGTGCTTTGCACGAGGGCTCGCGTTATCAATTGAAGAAAAAAAAAACATTAGGGCAAGTACTACCACCTTTCTCTTACGTCGCCGAAGATTGCGACAGGTGCAACATCGTCTTGTGGGAAGCAGCTCAATAAATCAACAAGATATGCGGCAGGATATCCATCTCTTAACATGTGACCATCTGTAACGGTTAAAGCGGCAATTTCAGTTCCCGTTCAAACTGAGTTTTCCCCAGGCCCGAACCTTTGAACCGAGCCAGGTGAGCTCATTAAGGTTTCGGTGCCTGGCAGGTGATCGATGTGACACACTATGTGTGATTGTTTTTCGATATAAGGAGAGTCAGTGGGCGAAGATGTCATCTGTGAAAACTTGCAGAGCGATTGCCCCTACATGCAGCTCCTTGCAGTTAACTCTCTGTTACTGGGGGAGGAGAGGTTAAGCCGTGATTTTTGAGGCTGTGAATCCGTGATTATTAGATGTTCTCCCTGACGTGCTAATGCTAGGAACATATTGCGAAAGTTCCATTGACTTGTAGAAAATCAAGTCAAGGAACAATGTTCTATCGCAACTTCAAATCCGCTTTAAATAAAAAGCCAGCTGGGGACGCTATGGGGGCAGCTGATGACGTTGAAGCGGGCCTCGCTGCATTGCCATTGCATGGTGATTGTGCGTTCTGCTCTTTCCAGTTACTGAATGAATGCTTACTAAATGTGCAAGTGCAACACGAAGATCACTGCATTGTCATTGCATGCCAAATGTGTCAAAAGTGTTCTGCTATTTTCCTTGTACGAAAATTATATTCTGTTGCACATTTTGGAATCAGTGGCTTTCCAGCCACGTTGGTGCATGGCCGAGGGACAAACCTCCAACATTTAACACAACTATTGTTTTGCGTCTCCACATCATAGAAACCTCATGCAAAGCACAAGGAATGTGGAGCAGCATGACAACCTGCGCAAGATCTTCGCTGGGCAACGGTCCAAACCATTCTGTTCCACTCTAGTTGACGCTGCTCGGTTCACGTGGCGACCTGAGCTGGACCCGAGCCGCAGCCGCAGCCTGCTCTGCCCTGTCGTCTGGCGGAGCTGCGGCGGCCCGACGACACGGCTAGCAGCGCTGCGGACGCAGGACAAGCTCTATGTCGAGCTTGACGTACTCCTCCGGACAGCAGTCGTACGTCTCCACCTCTCGCACCACCGACGAGCTGGCCACCTTCCAGGCGCCGTTGGCCGCCATGTTGGAGACGTCGACTGTGTCAGCGGTCGACTGCAGATCCAGCTCCTCCACGCTGTGCGTCCACGAGCCGATCTTGATGGGGCAGCTGAGCTGGTCCGAGTCGTCGGTGACGTTGCGGCTGCAGCGGACGGTGATGGTCACCATCGGGACGACCATGACGCGTCCGCCGCGCCAGATCATCGCCGGCGTGGCGCGCAGCCACTCGGCGCCCGCCGAGGGCACCATGTTGTACGGCAGGAGGTCGGGCCACCACATCTCGGAGAGCGGCAGGCGTGTGCGGCTCACGCCGTCGCCGGCCGGGAAGTCGGTCCAGGCGAGCGCAGGGCTATCCCACTCGATGTGCAGCCAGCCGCTGACGGTGGCCGTGTTGCGGCGCTCGTCCACCTCGACGTCTGTCGCCATCAAGCCGACGATGACGTTGATGCTGTCGTTGTAGACGCTCGCCGGTCGGATCATGCGCTCCGGCCGCGAGAGCAGGAGCTGGCGAAGCTCGAGCTCCTCATTCAGTGCGGAGCTGACCGTCACCACGGCCAGCAGAGACAAGGCGAGCAGAGCACGCATGGTGATCGCAAGAGGCGTGTGCTGACGGAACGGGAGCTCCGCGGTCCTCTCGGAGGGCGGTGTCCTCGAGCTTCGACAGGAGGAGGCCCGAAGGGAGCACGACGAGTGCGGTGTGCGCTAGCCGATGGCTGGTCTGATACTGGCTGTCGGCACAGGCGCCGTCTGAATAAATGGCCAGAGTTATCCAAAACAGGCTAGCGAACGCCGCGCCAGGGACGAGATGCAGCCCACCGTAATAGAATTAACAAACACTTCATCGGTGACGGAGGCCACACATGTTTGGCACTCCGCAGCTTACGCTTGCTGCTAAGGTCTAGTTCCAATTTGCATGCGGACTTAGACTCTGTCTCGCTGGTAATTATGACGACATCGCAGAGATCAATAGTACAATTCTCGATATAATCGCAATGGCTGCCGGGTGACGCGTCCGCTGTACCAACTTGCTGTCAGCTACGATGCACTCAGGTCGCGTTTGGCTAGCTGTGAGCTGCCGCCTCAGCACGGTTGTCATCGGTCACTTTAAAGAATGACGGGACAAATACTGCAAAAATGCAGAAATACTATAGCCAGCAACCACCATTGAATGATATTTTAGTCAGCCAAACAACGTTAAGAATAGCTCCTCGTGCTACTATGCACCACACGCAAGCTACTTACGTTTCGGAATGACATATTCCATTGTTAAAGTTACACACGCAGCATACAAGTGACGAATATATGATTGCATATTACAGTTAGGTGCAACAATTAGGTTTCATCAAATCCAGTTCAATCGCCAAGTTCTTTAGAGTCTAAACCAAGGGGTTGACATTTTTACGAACAGGAGAACCCAAGCGGCAAAACCCATGCTGAATGGTAAGATGTACCATCCATGGATGGTATCGATCGTCCCTAAATGAGATGAAGATGCGAGACCAAAGTTGGCGATACTCGGTCTCTTAATCTAAAGTCGCTGCTCCCCTCAGTAACAGGAAGCCCCGGATGAATCCTTAACATGTATCACTCTAACACCCTCCGCTGTCCTCTGAAGCTTCAGTTCGGGTATGCCCAAACTACCAGCCTCCTAGATCGCAGGGCTTTTTAACGTTACTACCAGGGGCGCCCTCCGCGGTATATCCTTAGAACAGCCGAACAGCGCCTTCGGAGAAAAAAAAAACTGACGATTAGCCACGCATTTCGAGCCGGTTGGTCTTCTCACGACACAAACACTACCAACGGCAGCTTACAGCAGTTCACTGAACCCGATTCACAACCGCATGGCGAGCATTTGAAGCCATCTATCTCAAAAGACCTGACGATCTAAAACGCTGCGTAGCAGACTAATGACGTCCGTGGGATAGTGCTGGGACAAACCATGATTCTTACGTCAAAAATGAGCTTAGTTATCTTGTATTTTGTACTTTGTAGTACGCGAAGTAAAAATTGGCTGAAAAAATATATGCGAAAAGGACTAGGCATTTGAGACGCACTTTCACAGCATTGATCTGTGACGTCAGCACTGATGTAGCATAGTTGCCGCATATTTATGTCACCTGCTAAAAACTCTTGAAGAAAGCTGCAATGTTTAGGAGCAATTTGTGGCTCCACTTGCTCATACAGCAAAACGTTCACGTTTCAACATGTGCTGTACACAAGCTCACGCTGTAAGCGTAAGCGTAAGCAGACCAATATTAACACCCGCTCGGGTGGATGCCAAATTGACCCTCCTCCCGGGGGTTTTTCCGGAATAGTTTCCGAACAGCGCCAGATTTGGCGTAGCCGCGCCAAATTTTGCATAGCTGTGGGCAATTGAATAGCAGATCATTTAGTATCAACATTTTATATGCAATTTGTAAGGTCGCTGACCTACGGCGGGTCAAAATCAGGCCATGGATTCAGCAAAGTCATTTCTAAGGAATCCTTCATTCTGATGTAACAACGGAGTGTTAGACAAAACCATACACCTCTGAGACACTTTATTATGCAACACAGCAATTGAATGAACAAACTCCATTGACCTAATATCAGATATGAAGGTCAGACCAAGGTAAAAAACGACCTGCTTTATTACTATAGGGCTAGCTGTATGAGGAAATTTGTGGTGCTCTTTTCGAACTTGTCTGATAACAGGAACCGCATTACACATCTCCCATGGACTTCTTAAAGATTGCAATAAGTCACTTAACCTAAGATGAGCCAGGTAAGCATTTTGTTCTTAGGAACATATTGCCTAGCGTAGCCGTTGCCGCTTAGTTCAAATGCAAATATCAAAGCAGTCTTGTATGATTTTGGTCACCATGACCTTTCAAAGGTCAAACAAGGTCACTGGCTTTCAACGATCATATGTGAACCTTCATGTGAACCATCATGTGAACTTTTCTTTAGAACGGGTGTCTAGGTTCTGGGCGCACTTTGGAGACCAATCTGGAGTTTGACCTTTTTGACATTATTTGACCCGAAGGTCATAACCTACGAATATTAAACTTTGATCTAAGGGAGTTTACATGCAGACAGATACACTGTGTGCATTTGGTGTGTCTAGCTCTCTTCGTTCCTGAGATTCTACGGGCGGTCAAATTGACCTCCACCCGAGTGAAGGGTATTCAACCGGCCGGCCGGGCGCGTGTCAAATTTTGGGTTTGGTCTAATGTGATGGCCTGTTGAAGTTTCGTTTCCATTCCCGTAATATTGCCACCAAATACCTTGCAAAAGTGTGCATTTTCGTCACCGGACGTGTCCGGTAAGTCGGATGTTTTTTTCGCCCATGCCCATGCCTGTGGAGACCATCCATAGCGCAGCGGCAAACGAGATGCGTCATCATAATCAATACGTTGAGCACCAGTGACTTGCTTTTGCAAAATACCATGGGTTCGTTCACTTTCAAGGTAGCATGGGTTGACAAGTAGATATGGAGTAAAATCCACAACCAAATGCGGATGTGAATGTGAGTAAATACGGGTAGCTGTCGTAACAAACATATTGGCTGTTCACGGGTCTCGATGTGTTTGTACAAGCACTGTGCCTTTGTTATGAAGATTTTCAAAAACTTCTGAAGGCAAATGGTAAATAAAATACTGTGCGTCCGGGACCAATCGATCTTCATTGTCTACAGAACCATCGACAGACCAGGTGACGGGAGCAGCACGTGTCGTTTACTTAAAAATGTTTGTTTTTAATAGCGCGAGATCGAAAATAATTTTTTGAGTCCAAAGTGCATTGCTTTGAACTTTGAAAGCATCTGGATGCTTTATTTTGTATTGTGGAGGAAAGTAGCATGTGTAAATATCCTGTCGAATTGCTACTGCAAGCACAACAGTCAGCAGAAATCGAGCAGTTCGTGGTCGTTAGCATGTGACAGTTGTTAAGTTGGCCAGAAACCACATGCATCGTTGTGAACGCACCGAACAATGACAATGCATGTGGGTTTGAACGGAATTATGATAGCAGGAGTGCAATAATCCTCAACTTTTACGGCGTGTGGAGGTTGTAGTTTCTAAGGATGGCTGTAAATGAGATTTTCCACTATTATTGGCATAATGAACACCGGTGGTGCAGACATAGGACAAAATCATAGGGGTCCAGGTTTAATGATTTCGACTTTTGAAGAACTGTTTAGGTCATAGTTTTCAATGGAGTTCAAAACGAGTAGCATCATCGTAATGAGCATGTCAAACTCTACCATTGATATGGGATTCAGAAAAATCGCACGGTTATGGGTTCAACGTCCTTTCACTTGGAATACCACTGGCGGTCACATTTTTAAATATGGCGGAAAACGAGGCGCGTCGTCGCAATCAACACGTGTACCACTACTAGTGTTATGAATCTAAGCAAAATCGTGTGTGTGCGTGCTAAATGACCGTGCGCCTAAATGATCTATCGATGCCACAATTTTAAATGTGGCTCGAAACTAGATGCACGATCGCTGTCGGCATGTCCAGTAAGACCATTTATATAAATATGGGAAAATCGTAAGGCTCTTATTGTAGTGACCTTGATATTCATCCACCCTTGGCAGTGTAGTTTTGAATGTGACTTCAGATTCACCATCGTGATCTGTATGTCAGACCTCATCATTAACATGACTGAGAAAAATCGTAAAGGTCCGGGTTAAATGACTTTGAACTTTGTAGACCTCAGGGGGTCATAGTTTTGGATGTGACGGGAAACGAAGAGCACCATTATAGCGTCCGACATGAATTTCAGCAATATCGCAAGGCCATGTGTCTGAATGCAAAAGTGAGTAAGAGCAAGAGTAAGAGTGCGATAACATATTACAAAGTCGCCTTGAGAGGCGTATAATTGCGATCGGTTTAACAAGATCATGAGCTTTGTTTGCCTTGATGTTTTCGTAAACTTTTATTTCCAGGAGGATACCAGCTGTGCTGAGTTTCTAAACACCTCCATACCGATGCTAACTGGCTGCACATTTTTGTCTCCAACATAGATAAATGAATGAGTAACATTCAAGATACTTCAATTCACCAATTTTGCTGCTGACATTTTTCAAAAAAGGATGGTGTATGGAAGTCGATTGGTACAACTTGAGCAACCAATTTTTCTGGCAAGCCAGACTGGACCGGATGATGTTGGTAATCCTGGAAAAGTGGATTGGAAAACAGATTGAATGTAAAGTAGCCGGACCGGACCGAACAGAGTCCTGAAAAATCAATACGTGAAGTGCCATTTTGCTCACTGGCCCCATCATTCGTACTGATTTCGCGGACTGGACCTGCGAATCAAAATTTCATAACGTGGCATTGATTTGGCGAGGTCAGTTTTAGCACACCTTAGCTGACAGGCCAGGTCACGCTCGGGTTTTTGGAAGGAACCCGCGACCGAGTGCGCATGGACTTGGCTTCAGTCGAATCCGTAGATCCGGCCGTTCCTGCTGCACTGATCGCTGGCCTGGCGCTGGACTTAGCCAACTACGTCAGATGTGCATCGCAACGACCGAATGCTGTGTGTTCATGGTTCTGAACACGATGAATCGCTTGCTTTTTCCACAGCAACTCGATAATTTGTTGATATGCAAAGCGCATTTTAGCGTTTGAAAAGGGCCATTGCCTGCCTCCGATTGCTGCTCATGTCGCCGCGTGACGTCAGCGCCAATCTCGAGCCAGGACACCGCACGGTAGTACGAGCACTTCAGCCGTGACTACAGCAGTTCGCAGTCAGTGTCTGGGGAAGTGCGGAGGCACTGCCCGTAGAACTCAGCCTCACCGAGCCTGGCAGCCAGGAGAGCCGAACACAATACCGAGTCGACGACACTTCACCGAAGAAAATCACATCACAACAAAGATGTATTCACTACATCGTATTTTCTCGCCGGTAGATATAACGCCGGTGGATATAACGCCGGGGGATATAACGCCGGTGGATCTAACGCCGGTGGATATAACGCTGGTGGCACATCGCGAAGCCAGTTTATCACGAAATTCAACGTGTGCAAAGGAGGCATCATGAGATGGCAACGGGCCAATCAGCTGTGACACTTACATGGCAGACCCAGGGCTGTTTCCACTAGGGCGTGTCCGATGGTAACGGGCCACTCAGCTGTGACACTCACATGGCAGACCCAGGGCTGTTTCCACTAGGGCTTGTCCGATGGTAAAGGCCAATGAGCTGTGACACCCACATGGCGGACCTAGGGCTGTATACTCTAGGGCGAGTCTACGTGCGTGCAGTGTAGATAACAGCGGAAGTGGGCTGACTGCGGTGAAGTCTGCATTGAAATATCGTTAACCAGGCGAAAGGCGCGGAGTTGAAGAGCATTCTAGACCCCGAAAGTTGTTCGCGATGGATGACACGGGACAGTGAAGCTCGGTTGGTGGGGTAGCCGTCGACGTGGGACCATGTACCGAACGTCACGACTCAGAGCCCGGCTGCGGGCTTACTGCTCCGCCGTCCGAAGCACACCGACGTGAGAGACTGTCACGCTATGGGCCAAGGAGTGGAATGTGTTGCCAAACAAAGATGGCAGATATGCTCTGATGACGGGCGAGAGGGTTCTTGCTGAAACAAGTGGAGAGGTGCAGCCAAGGGCGGTGTCATACAGCCTTGCATAGCAGAAGAGTAACGAAAACTCGTAATTGTCGAATCGGTTGCCCTTAAAATCCAGTGGCACACTTACGGACATTTTGTGTATATATATATATATATATATATATATATATATATATATATATATATATATATATATATAGTAAGTGGCGCATCAATATGGCCATGTAAAATAGTGATCATAGGCAGATTTCCTCTGATAGAATGTATATGGAGCACTAAATTATAATTATTTGGAAGTTAAGGCAGTAGTAATAGCTTTATTCCTCGGAGAAAAGCCAGGAGAATGAAGACATAAATGACTTAATATTTTGGTAGCATGCCTTTATCAGAACGAATAGTAGAAGTGCGATGGAATGGAATTTAGCGATATGAATTTAGTGAAAAAAATTAGGGGTTTAGTGATAGAGTAATGTACAATTTGTGTTACGTGTTTATCTTATTCAACCTTGCAAGTTTTCCCCATTGTCGTTAAAAGGAAGGGCATTGTCCGCGCCGCGACACATAATACGACGAAGGGTATGGTCTACGTCGTGATGATGGTGGCATGGGCAGCATACTAATACTAATCTTGGAAGTCAACCTCACTTCTATGCATGGTATACCAATTACTTCACTGACGTGGTTCAACAGGGGGCTGTTCTTTGGACTCTTTGCCAAACGCCTTGTAATCTTGGTGTCATAAATCTGCATGGCAGGGTGACCCGAAGTAAGGTTAGGGTGGGTCCCATATCGGCAAAAGACTATCCTGTTTGGTGTGGGCCGAATCAACGGCAGAACTTCAGGCCATTGCGAGAAAATTAATGGGAACAGTCCCCTCTAAAAGCTCGCATGATCCTATCGCAGTACAATCTCACGTTCACAAGTCCTTTCGAACAACATTTGGGCAACGGTGTGCACGCAGTCTGCGAGTAAAGGTATTAGCAGCGATATATCCACTACGAATTCTAGGCTCGATGGCCACAATGACAGCAACTAAAACACAACACTTACTCAGGAGTGTATTTAAGCAGTAAAAATAGTACGAAGAAAGTGAGAGGAACAGATAAAGACAGGAGAGAAGGGGAAACGGGCAGACGGTGCCGTAAAAGACAAAGTGGAATGCGTCTGGAAGGATTCATGCCTCATGCGGGGAGGGGCTTTCGGGGAAGGCAGCGAAATAATACCAACGCCAACCGCGCAACAGTGTCAAAGTCCGGCGCAGACGTCTGTAGTGCGCCACATGCGTGACACTGGGGTGGCACTGGGTGCCTAGTCCGCCGCGGCTACCGCCGTCTCTGCTGGCTCGGCCTCTCCTACAGGCAGCACTCATCGCGTTGGCCCGACCACGCGACCGAACAGATCGGGTGCGGGTACCCCCGTGGCTGCGCACTCAGCAGGCGCTAATAGAAAAATACGTACACCAAGCGGGGGCCGGCGATACACCAGGCTGGTCACGCCAGTCTACATACCGCCTATGATCGCGTCCTCTACGCGCTTGCGCTGCGATTAGCTCACATGGCACACAGCGGTCGCCTGCGATTAGCTCACATGACATACAGCGGTCGCCTGCGATTAGCTCACATGGCACACAGCGGTCGCCTGCGATTAGCTCACAGGGCACACAGCGGTCGCCTGCGCGAGTGCAAAAGCGGCCATGTAACGGTAACACCATCAGACACTACACTACGATACGATACGTACAATTAATGACATGTATGTGTAAATGAGGCTGGCTGCTATAGACGCCGTACGCAACACATATCTAGAAGGAGGCTGAACAAGGTCCCCCGGGGAAATCAATGTGAGATTCTACGTGCGCATCGGTTGGCCTCATAAAGTGATCCCATCGTTGGTGTGGTCACATCCATTACAAATACTAGGCGCTGCTGAGAGACGAGCAAAACAAGAAGCCCTCAGTCATCTGTCTGTCTGTCTGTCTGTCTGCATCTCTCTCTCTCTCTCTCTCTCTCTCCTCTCTCTCTCTCTCTCTCTCTCTCTCTCTCTC